CCCCGAGGTCCCTGGGGCGGTGGCTTCGCAGAGACGGAGCCCGGACGGGTGGCTGCCCGGGGCGGTGGGGACGGGGTTCCGCTCAGCAGGCCCGGGGCTTGGTTTGGGATGAGGACAGGGTCCCAGCGGTGGCGGTGGCGGTGGCCGCACGGGAACATGAGCGCGCTCGGCGCCGCGGAGGCTGCGTTTCCAATGGCTCAGGGGCGAATTCGGTGCCGTGCGCATCCCGCCTCGAGTTTTCACGATGTGGCGCCATCAGAATTCTGCGGGACAAATGTAATGTTCCCGCTGGATTGTTTATTCTCTCTCATCATTCTTAAAAGAAAAAGAAGAGTAAGTTTCCCTTATCCAGTATCTCTCCCGGTTCCTTGGACAGAAAAAGCAGAGTCCAAACGCACGTGTCCCTCCAAACGGGAAGTCCCTAACCGGCAGCGCTGTGTCTGCCACCTGCTGTGGCTGCCCCACGTCGCGAGTCCCCGAGGATGGCTCTGTCCGTAGCAAGGGCTTTTGGTCGGTGGGGTGACGATGCTGGTTGAATGTTAAGATTTCTGATACGGACAGGCCTGAGTTCAAACCCCATCTCTGTCGAACAGCCGGGAGTGAGTGTGACGTTAGGCGCCCTGTTCACGCAGGGCGGTGACACGCGTCCCCCGAGCTGGTGGCGGTGAAGCCCCTGGGCGCCTGGAGGCCCTGGGGAATGAGGGCCCTGATTCCTTGTATTCTTCATTCCCTCCCCGAGGTCGGCCGCACATCGGCACCTTCTGAACCTTTGCGGCTCGCTTCTAGAAGATTCCACAGTTTACACGTGAAACCTTCTCCAAGCCTCTTCCTGTTCTCCGTCTTCACAACTTCCAGGCGCCCTGACAGGGACGGCCCTTCTCGAACCCAGCAGGAACCCCGAGACAGCCACGCTCTCGGGACATAGCCACGCCCCTCCGCTCGCCCACAGGAGCCTGTCATTCCAGGCTCAGGTAGATTTTTGCCCAGGTAGAGTTTTGGTCCATTCTCGCCCCGCCTCAATCCATCCCTAAAGCAAATTCA